GTAGTGCCTAAGGCACTTAACTGCTAACCGGAAGGCTGGCTGTTCAAACCCACCAGACACAACTTGGAAGGAAGATCGGGCAATCTACTTCCGTAGTGATACTGCCTTGGAAACCCAAGGAGGGGTCGCTATGAGTTGGGTCCGTCTCCACGGCACATAACACCACCACCACAACATCACTACGGAAGAAAATTGCCCAACCTTCCTTCAGAGGAGTGGCTAGTGAGTTTGACCGCCAATCTCCTGGTTATCAGTCAAATGCCGTAGACACTACGCCACCAGAGTACTTAGAAATCGAGGGAAGGGTTGTGGCGAGGGAAGAAGCAGAGAAGAGGGCGAGGCCAGCAAAAACAAATGGCCCACGGAAGAGGTGGGACCAGGGCAGGACCCAGGCGGAGAGGAGGCCAAAACCGTGTGGCCCGCCCCTCACCGCGCTTCCCCCGGAAAAGCGTCATCAACGCTATAAAATAGCGTGAGCAGAACCATTGGGTCTTTTACATTGGGGAAGCGCTGGCGTGAGTTTTGAGGCTGGGTTGTGGGTTGCTGTGCTTCTTATGCGCTGTAATATTAATTAGGTCAGAGGTTTTGGGCATAATTAAAATGGAGACCATCCCAGACTACTGTAGTAGTAGGCCGAGATCGGTTTTGACATTCTGGTTCGCTAGCTTGGGCTTACTTAGAAGTTCATCTGGTCGCGCAGCGGCCACGTGCAGCTCTGCGTATGGCGCTCTAGGCTGACGCTGGTGAGCCAAGGGCCCTCGGATAAAAAAGTTAAATGTCCCGGGCGACTGGGGTGAAGAAAACGAGTTCTGCTGTCGGTGACATGTGGACATCTTGAGTCTATCCTCCGTCTCTATTAAATAATTACACAGCCCCCCAAGATCTGCCACATTTTCTTCCGGAGGGTAAGTAATCCCTTTGGGGTTGTGCTTGCTGATCACTTACGGGGTTGTGAATGACCATGTATCTTTGGGACCTGTCAGTTGTGGCAGTCTCCCTTCCTAGCCATGGAAGAGTATATTCTTGTTTATTGGCAAAGCTGTCACCATTTAATTGGTATCAGATTCTGACTTGCACAAGTAACATTCTTAAGTTAAAAAGCTAGGGGGTGCCGGGTTATTGAGCAGACGTCTGACTGCTAAAATGTTTCTAGGATGCTGAACTAACTCTAGAAGGAAGAGAGAAAACAGCAAGGTATTTGTCCTTTTTGTTACTTAAGCGTCAATCTGAAACCTTAGCAATGAAGAATTGGAATGTTGAAGTTGGCCTTACCCTCTGGTGTTCTGTAATTATAAAAAATAAATGGCTAATTGATGGGAAGTAACTGAATTAGGTGTGAAGAATCAGAGTAAAATAGTTAGATCTGAGTTTTATATGATGGTTTTTTGTTCTCTCGCAGATTTTCAAGAAATCCTAAGTGATGAAAGTGAAGTCTTTTTCAGCATCTTGCCAGTGGATCACCTAATTTGATTTTAAATCTTAACAAGTGGAGGATGTTACAGAAAGAGATCAGGGAGTACTTTAAGTAGGCTTACATATAATTTTTAAGGAGCTCTGGTAGCACAGTGCTTAAGGCATTAAGGTCACTAACTGAAAGTGGTAGCTTGCACTCACAAATTGAGGCGGTCTGCTCCCATAAAGATTTACAGCCTTGGAAACCCTTGGGGTAATTCTGCTCTGCCCCATAGGGTTGCTATGAGCTGGAAGGCACTTAATGGCAGTAGGGTTTTGAATTTAAAGCAGAAAATAAAAATTGCTTCTTTGTTAAGATTGAATAAAAATGTCTGATTAATTTGGCTAACCAAAGTTCTTTACATAATTAGTTGAAGATAAAATTTAAAAATATAGTGAACAGACTACCTCCTGTTCCTGGTAAGATCACATGTGGAAGTGATATGAATTAGGATATTTTATAGCGTTTTGAAAAACCAACTAGGTGGACTCGCAAAGGAAAGGATAGAGGCTCTCATGTACTTTGTACCACAGAAAATTTTGAGATGATTATACAAGGTAAAAAGTTCCTTACAAGAAAAAAAAGATGGTGGGGACCAGATTTGCTGGTCCAATGGAGCCTGGTGGAACCACTGAGACTATGGCCCCTAGCTGCCCTTCAGGTCTGGAATTGAACCCACACCTGTGGTTTCCAGCCAAACAAAGTACAGGCATGTGAGTTAAACATTTACCTCAGGTAGACACACGTCCTGGAGAGAACAATCATCGGAGAAGGGAAAGCTGCTTATGCACAGGGAGACAGTTCAGGGCAGGAGAGTATGGAGGGATGGACACTGGGAAGTGGTAACTATGGGGAGGAAGTGGGAGGGGAGCTGTTGTACTGTGGTAAACTGGTCAGTGACATGAGACAAAGTATATGTGAACTGCTGTATAGAAAGTGAATTTGTTCTGTAAATCTTCACCCAAATCACAATAAATAATAAAAAAATAAAAAGTTCCTTACACAAACTTGCTTTGAATACATGTACATTTACATTTTTAAAAAGTCACACTAAAAATTAGCTATACTAAAAGTTTGTATGGGAGCTTTGGTAGTGTAGTGCCTAAGGCACTTGACTGCTACACAGAAGGCTGCTGATTCAAATCCACCACCCACTCCTCGGAAGGAAGATGGGGCAATCTACTTCCATAGTGATACTGCCTCAGAAACCCAAGGAGGGGTTCCTATGAGTTGGGTCTGACTCCGTGGCATATAACAGGCATGTTTAGGGAACCATGTTATTAAGGGTTCAGCAGACTTCATTTCTGTTTCCTTGAAACACCATGGCCACTTGTAGCTGCTCTTACCAGGCAGTAGCTTTAACTAATAAAAAGCACCTTTAGATTAGCACCAGTTTACATTGAAGGGGGCACTATTAATGAAGAAACCAGGTGATTTAATTAAGTATTTACAAACATTCTTAATCCTAAAATTAACACTGGGTTTGAGGAAGTATATTAGCCATCATTATCCTGATAGGAATGGCTACTAGGATACATACCCATAGTGTTGTCAGTAATAGACTATATATTTGCTGCTTCTGAGATTATGTGCAAAATTGTTACCCGTTCCCTTTCCCCTTTTGGGAGAGAGCCAGGAGGGAAGACAATGCTTTAGGAGGGAAACTAACAAAAAGGAAAAGTCCCATTTGAAGAATTGAAGTCAACACCTCATAGGAACAATAGCTATTCTGGAGTTTGGAGCCAAAGCTTTTCAACAGCTGTTTCTCCTTGGCCTGTTTTCTCCATTTATTAATTGGTGTTAATAATTGCCTCCTCTAAGTGTATAGGCTACTTAGTGCGGTACCTGCCACGTGACTGCTGTTACTTATTTAAACAAAGTTTTTAAATCATGTTCCAGTACATAGAGGGGAGAAAAACAATAGTATGACTGTCTTGGAAAACATAAGTGAATTACCAGATAGGTGCAGTAGATGGCGTTCCTCCATCATTGTCCAAGAAACTTGATGCTAAGGTAGAATTAGGTTAACTAAAATTGGAGGTGGTGATCTGAAAAGTATAATTTGTACTCTCCCTATCAAAGAAACTGGAGTTATAATAGTATGCTAAAATCAGTGGTGATTTTATGCTGTTGTCAACAGAATTTTCTTTTGGAAAAGTTTGGGCAGGACATAAAACTTCTCTTGTCCTGCCCAATCACAATTATGTTAGGGTAGTTAGTTAGGTTTTGTTGCAAATTGGATTTTCAAAGAAACTGACCTGAAAATATTTTAGGATGGGATATTGGAAACTTGACAGGTAGACTCAGAATGCTGAAAAATGTGATTAAGGAATTTTTACATCTAAACTGCTTAAGCATTCTTTTTTATGTTAGAAACTCATCTAAATTTTACTAGTAGATTATATGAAAATACAATGTATTTTTCTCTTAAGGTTTCTATAGTGCTTGGTGCATACATGGATACTTGCATATATCAGATCACTTCATTTGGGAATGTATTGTGATAGGTAAATGGCCTTGTGGCTCAGTGGTCCATTCTTGTTGTTGTTTTGCCGTCGAGTCGCCCCCGACTCATAGCGACCCCTCCTTGGGTTTCCAAGGCAGTATCACTACGGAAGTAGGATTGCCCAACCTTCCTTCCAAGGAGTGGCTGGTGGGTTTGAACCGCCAGCCTTCTGGTTAGCAGTCAAGTGCCTTAGGCACTATGCTACCAGAGCTCCTTGGTCCATTCTAGTATATGAATTTATAATGGAATTTCTTTATACTTTTGGCCCTTGGTTTACTCAGTTGTTACCATATGAAGATTTATTTCTTGGAGCCTTTTGGACCAAAAAGATTGGATCTTAAAAACATTACATAAATTGAAAATGCCATTCTTATTTTGAGCACAGTAAAGGATTTTATCATGACTCTTAATCTATAACATACTGATTGAATTGTACAAAGTTAGCAGTCCCAGACAAGTGTGAAAACAACCTTAATGCAAAATCAAAATACACTTAATATCCCTGGAGAATGAAGCAAGAATTCATCTGCCTAGTGAAATTAATTTGAATAGGCAACTGCTAATTGAGGATAGTATTACACTGAGGTATCTGTAACCAGTAATGTTCACAACTTCTCAAAAGCAGCAAGGGATATACAAGTATGAAATGTGTCTACAATTTATATTACAAATAAAGCAGAAACATGGATCTTAGTCCCCATTAGCTGTCATCTGTGGCTCAGCACTAATCAGGGAGTTCCAGAAATTTTCCGTCATAGTCTTTAAATAGTTTTTCTTCAGATTTCCATGAACAATTACAGTTTGGTGACACTCTTTATCCAAGGTACAAAGGCTGAGACTTTGGTATAAACACCTGGAGAATCCTTGATTCCACAGCCATAACCCCAGGAAGTGACTCCAAAAACAACCCAGCTCTCTCCAGGCTGTTCACACATAAGTGGTCCTCCACTGTCTCCCTGGCAGCTGTCCACCCGTTTGTGTTCATGGAGGTTTCCAGCACACAGCATCCTCCCTGTAAACCGACCCTTATAACGTTCTTCACAAAACCTCTTGGGAAGCAGTGGGATGGGTGCTTGTTGCAGCGTTCTTGAATAGGCTCGTCCTACTCAGACCAAATATCTGAATTAGTCAATGACATTCCAGCCAATAATTCTAAAGAAATCAACATTTAGCAATTATAATGAACATTTTAAGTTTGGGTGGAATCCCTATTGTAGCATCATTTTAGTTTGAAATGAGTGATAATTATGACAGTGTCATTGACTGCCCTTTTGAATGTTGACACTTAACACTACCCATCACTAATCTGTTTCTCAGTACTGGGTTTTCATTGCATCATGAGTAACATCAGCATTTATAGGAGCACTGGTGGTGGTGGTGTGGTTAAAGCATTCAGTTGCTAATGAAAAAGGTCAGTGGTTTGAACCCACCAACTGCTTCGTGGTAGAAAGATGTGGCAGTCTGCTTCTGTAACGATTTACAGTCTTTGAAAACATATGGGGCAGTTCTCTGTCCTATAGGGTTGCTATGTGCCAGAATCAAATTGATGGCAGTAGGTTTGGTTTTTTTTGTTTGTTTGTTTGGTTTGTTTTTTGAACATTTATGGACTTGGTTATAGAGTAAAAAGAAAAAAAAAAACTCACTGCCAATGAGTTCATGGCAACTCCCATTGGGTTTCCAAGGCTATAAATATGGAAGCAGGCTGCCTCATCCTTCTACCACAGCTATAGAGAAAGTTAAACCTAAATAGAGCACATTTGTTAGTATTTGAACTTTTTTAAAAAGCTGTGAATGGATTAATGCTAGTTTTGTCTTCCGTGATATCCTTTTCTTGGTTATGGAGTCCACCATTCTCTGAACCTGTTTACTCAACTGGAATAACTAATCCACAATGAAATTTACTGTTAAATTTACTTCCTTGATCACTTCAATTAATTCAGTTTTGGTGTCTAAAGATAAATGAAATCATCCTGTAAGAAGAAATCGTAATTATCAACTCAAAATCATTTGGAAAAAAAGACGGACCAGATTTGCTGGTCTGATAGAACCTGATGGAACCACTGAGAATATGGCCTCTAGCTACCCTTCAGGTCTGGAATTGAACCCACTCCTGTGGCTTCCAGCCAAACGAAAGACAGGCATATGAGGTGAACATTTATACTCGGTAGATACACTCCTTTGAGAACAATCATGGGAGAATAGAAGGACTGTATGCACAGGGAGACAGTTCATGGGGCAGAAGTGCAAGGAGGGATGGACACAGGGAAGAGGTAACTGGGGAGGAAGTGGGAGGAGAGCTGTTGCAATTGTAGTCAATGTCATGAGACAAAGTGTATGTGAACTGCTGTATGGAAAGTGAATTTGCTCTGTTAACTTTCACCCAAATCATAATTTAATAAAAATAATCTTAATTGTCCCAGTATATTTTATCCTTCTCAGAGACTTGATTTGCCTCATGAGTCAGCATAACAGAGGGAGAAAAAAAAACAACACTCCTGTCTAATCTTACTCATAGTAGATTGCCCAGTCTTCCTTACAAGGAGTGGCTGGTGGGTTTGAACCTACAGCCTTCTGGTTAGCAGTCAAATGCCTTAGGCACTACCACATCAGAGCTCCATGAATTAGCATAGTAGACTAAAAAGTCATTTACTGAACTCAATTTTATCATTATGATATCCAATAAATGTTTCCTTCTTGGAATTTTGTATGTGTGGTTTACCTCAGGTTTGGTCCCAATGCTTTTTTAATATCCTAAATCTGCTATTAAAAAAAAAAACAAAACAAAAACTCACTGCCATCGAGTCGATACCAACTCATAGAGATCCCTCCTACTGGTATGAAAATTAAGTCTTAAATCCAGATTTAGTGTAACATGGAATAAAATAAACATCTACTGAATGAAACCTTATTGACACTATTATCTGTAGAAATATACTAATTCAACACTCTTCAAGAGTATAATTATTAGTGTAATTTTTTTTTTTTAATGGAAAGCCATCAACCTATCATTTCTCTATTCAATAGTAATTTGTCACCTATTGCAGGTGAGACCTCAGGTCTACTGTTTGGAGGACCATCTTGACCAAGTACTAAGTGATGTACATTGATCTAAAGCTATAGTGAGACAATACAGAAAGCTTTGTTCACCTGAGAGGAACATAAACTAATGCTTCAGCTATGCTCCTGCTAAGAAGCATTGGTGGCTCAAACAGTTAAGCGCTCAGTTGCCAACAAAAAGTTTGGTAATTTGAATTCACCCTATAGCTCCCCGGGAGAGAGAGCTCTGGAGTACCGTCATCAAGATGAAACTCTATGAGGCAGTTCTGCTCTGTCTCATGTGGTCACTATGAGTCAAAATCGGCTTAAGGGCACCTAACAACAACATGCTTTTGCTTGTTCAGAGTGCAGAGGAGGTGAGAGTGGTTAGGGGGATCTGGGAGAAATTTGAGTGGGCTGGATCTGCACTTCAACGTCAGTAGTTGTGCTTTGTCTTCTATATTTAGGAGTCTTCCGTAAGATTTAGTTTGATAAAAGGCTCCATTGCAAAGAAACAAACCATCAAGTACCAATAGCGGTTCTGAAGCTGTTTGCTGTACTGGCTACATCAAAATCATCTGGAAAAGCTTTTTAAAATACAGGCTGCCAGGCCCAAATCATGGAGTGAAGTCTTCAAATGTCTTCACTTATCCCCTCCCTATTTGGGGGAATTAAAAGTTTCAGGAGGATTCTCTATTCCTTAAGCCCCACCAGGAAAAAAATGATCAAGTATTCCACCTTTGTATAAAGACAATTGAATTCTTTGAATTTGTGGTAAAGGTCTGACTGGAACCAACAAATACCCTCCAGAATGTGAATCCAAACTATATGCATACATTTCACAATTGGCAGTATTTCCAAACGTCACTAAGTCTGAACCCATTTAAAACTTTGCCACCCTTTACACACTCAAATGAGCAGTAATCTCAAGAAGGTGCCTGGACTTCCTTATTCTTTTGAATTATTTACATTACCTGTGTCTCCCCATCCTGTTATGTAACAGTTGGGAGCTGTTTTCTGTGGTCTTTCTCTCTTGAGTGGTAAACAAGCTGGCAAAACGTGGCTACTGAATCTGGCACATTGTTCTTCTGGTCCTTGTAATCTAACCAAAGCAATGTCATAGTCACTGCTGTCTGGTCGATACTCGCGGTGAATCACAATCTGTTGAACTCCAATTTCTTCTTCAAACTCCTCTGGCACCAGAGTATGATAATCCCCAACTCGAACAGCATAGTTCCTAGTGCTATTACCATACCTGAGGGGCAGAGAGAGCTAATGAAGGGCTTGTTTCAAACACTGAAAATGAAAATTGGTGACTGTCAGCAAGAAACGTTACTACAGGTGCTGTAAGTCTTTGTACGAGTCATTAGTTTCCCCTTCGTACATTGAGCCTTTCCATTTCTCTGATCCAATGCTCCTGTGCCTCTACTTGAAAACATACTGTCATTATCTCTTTTCACTATTTAATCCAATTACCTTCTTCTCTTATTCTCTCATTCTTTAGAAGCAAACATGGGGATGAGTGGTAAATAAAGGAGAATCATTAGCTTGTCACTTCCCTGCCAAAAGAAAAATGATCAAGAGGGATAGATTGTATAGGGAAAGCTTACTGTCCTATATTTGCTGTCTTTATTTCTCTTATCATTTCCAAGACTGTTAATTCATTGTGGAGCTCCTAGGACAGAAACCATCTATCTTATATCCATCACAGTACTTAGGACAATCCACTTCACTCCTAGTAGGTGCACTCAACTTCTCCCATTTCCTGTGAACCAAATGCAAAGCAAAACTATACTTATAACCCAACCTGTATTCATTATATTTCCTCATCTCTTAAATCTTTGTTCAAATGTCACTTCAATGGGGCTTACTTTGATACCACCATATTTAATTGCCACCCACCCTTTAATGCCCTCTTAGCCCCAGAACTCCCAATACCCCTTACACGTTTCCTTTGGTATTAACATTTACCACTTTCTGACAAACTACCTAGTTTACTACTTTTTATGTGTATTGTTCCCTGACTCCTCCTGCTTGAATGAATGGCATTCAAGGGGAAAGGACCTTTGTTCTGTTCACTGATGTATCTTAATCACCTAGAATAGCAACTGCCCTAAATTAGGAATGCAACATATATTTGTTGAATTGTGAATGTATGAATGTATGATTTTAATGTTAATACCTAGTTCCATGAGCAGCTAGTTAATAAAAATTCAAACACAGTGTTTACTAGATTGATAGTTGTCAGGCTACTTTTCAACCAACATACCTTGATTCCAATACATCCACCTTAGCAGAGTTACTCCATTTCAGTAATATTGACATTTGGGGCCAAATAATTCTCTGTTGGAGGAACTGTCCTGTGTGTTGTAAGAAACTAGCCTCAATTCAGGAGATGGCAGTAGCACCCACCACCCCAAAAATGTCTCCAGATACTGCAGAATGTCCCCTGGGAGCAAAATTACTGATTCCCAGTTGAGAACTGGCCTAGCATACGTGACCCACCTCCTGGTTACTTCATCTTTCTCAGTGAAGATCGTAGCACCTTGCTTACTGTCTTCTCTACCACTACTTACAACATCCTTAATGATGTAATCTCCAACATCTTTCCCCTTTAGTTCTCTGACTTCCTCATCTACAATGAGTGTATTCTCCACCTCGTTGCAACCACCCAAGCTGACAGACCTAGACCTTGTTTTCACCAGATACACTTCTGAAAACTTGATTTCATGCATCTCATATTTTGCCTGTTACTTCCTGTCTTTGCAGCTCCACATTTCTTCAGTTCTACCAGACTGCAACTCTTGGACTCCGCTAGTTTTTCATTTCAGTTTCATTCTGATCATGACTTCCTTTCTTACCTGGTTTGGATTCTACCTTTGATTACTATGATTACTCTTTTGCAAAATTTCCCATTCCCTCTTTTCTTTTACCCACCAAAACTCCGACCTTGGTTTCATCACCTCTCCATTTACTTTGTGTTCACATCTGACTACAGTAGGAGAAAAGCATACTTCTAATGACTCATCTAAGGAGCCCTGGTAGCACATTGGTTAAGTACTCAACAGCTAACTAAAATGTCAGAGGTTCAACGCCACTAGCAGCTCCATTGGAGAAAGATGTAGCAATCTGTTTCCATAGAGATTACAGTCTAGCAGACCCTATGGGACTGGTCTGCTCTGCACTATAGGGTCACAGTGAGTTGGAATCGATTCAGCAGCAATGGGAATGACTCATTTTATCCTAACATTTTGACCAAAATTTGAGAGTCTTTCACTATATGCAAGATCTATATTGGAATATGAGTTTAGAAAAGTGACTACTGAGAAACTTAGATTTTGCTGGTGACTGTCTATTTAAAATATAGCCTCCCATTTGCTCCTTCAAAATTCCTGGCGGTTGTGAGATAACTAAACATTGTGATAGCTCTAAGTGGAGCTCTGACCCTCTCCCATAAATAAAGTAATTTTCTAAACTGTGTCAGCTCAAAAAACTATACCATGCGCCAAAGATGATTTGGCTTACACAGCTGCCTACTATACATCTACAACACTAATAATTCCTGATTAATCCTTGAGACTCTACACTTTCAATCTTAATCATCATATATCTTTAAAGCTCAGAAAGTTTTTATATATTGTGCCTAGAGACTGACCTCTTAGGAGATCCACGTCAAAATTTAAGGAAATTTTAGGATTATTTCACATCCTGAAAATGTAAAAAGTAATAGTAATGGAGAATTATCAGGTATTTAAATAATTCTCAGTTTCACTTTCTGTATACTAACATTACCAGTTTAAGAATACAATAAGCCTTATTAATAGTATATAAAAGTATTTAAAATAACACCCCAAGGGATTTAAACACCTTTCTAACAAGAATAATTGTCAATAATTGCAATGTAGTAAATCCACCAGCCACTCCTTGGAAGGAAGACTGGGCAGTCTACTTCTGTAGTGATACTGCCTCAGAAACTCAAGGAGGGGTCGCTATGAGTCGGGTCCAACTCAATGGCAAATAACAACAACAACAAAAAATTACCTGGCATGGCTTTTCTAGCCATAAGTCTTTGTAAACCCAGTGGTAGAATTTGCCGTGAGCAATTGAGGAGCTCCTGATTGTAAATGTTATCTACCTAGGATATTTCTGTTGGCTGTGGCAAAAAGCAATGTTCTGGGAAGTTTGCTCTCTCTCTCAGGTGTTTAGAATTCTGATGTTATGATTGGTTAGTTTGGCCACTCTGCCAGGCTCAAAAGGAGGTCTCCTATAGACAGAACTCTGACTGCTGGCTGAGAAGGACATGCTGCTGAGAGAAACGCGATCCCAAGGGAAACGCACTCCTGAGAGAAATGTGCTCCTGAGAGACACATGCTCCTGAGAGATGCGCTGCTGGGAAAGAGATGCAAGAGACATGCATTGCTGAGAGAGACACTGAGGGACATGCACTGCTTGGAGAGAGACTGTGAGAGACTGTTGGCTGAGAGATAGCAGGCTGGGAGAGAGACTGAGCATTTTTCCTGAACTTGAATTGTAGCCTGGTGTTTCCCTAATAAACCTCATGATCTGTGAGTTCTGTGTGGCCACTGCAGTGATTATTGAACCCAGCAGAAAGGTAGTGAGTGCTACAGGAGGAACGGTTGGTGTCAGGGTTGGTGAAAGGGCTGGAGGGAGGCAGCATGTCTGGCCTCACAGAACTAGGCCTTGGGCTACTGATGGTGATTCTGTCTTCCTCTTGTGTGGTTAGAGGAGGTCAGAAGATGTGGCCTCCTTGCCTCTTTAGCAATAATACATCATTAAAAATGCTCTTGAAGTGTTTCAGAAACCTTTGGGATGAAATTTGAGAAACTGTGTAGAGCTCCAATCGGAGCCACTAGTCACATGTGACTATTAAGCATTTGAAATGCAGTTAGTCTGAATTGAGTTGTGGTAAAAGTTTAAAATATATATAGGATTTCAAGTACTAAAATGTATGACAAAAAGTATATTAAACATTAAGTGACTCAACAGATAATTAATAAAATATTTTTGTTTTTAAGTGCTGTCAAATCATCTCCAACTCATAGCAAGCAACCAAAGAATGAAACACTAACTGGTAGTATGCCATCTTCACAATCCTTACTATACCTGAGCCTATCATTGCAGCCCTGTTGCAAAATAAAATATTAGATATTACAAATAGTTGTTTTTATACTGATTACATTTTGAGATATTTTAGATATACTTTGTTAAAAAACACAGAAGGAAGATGGGGCAATCTACTTCCATAAAGATTTACCACCTCAGAAACCCAATAGGGGTTGCTATGAGTCAGACTAAACTTGATGGCAGTGAGTTTGGCTTTTGGTTAAATAAAATATATTACTAAAATTATTTTCTTTAGCTTTCTTAAAGTTATATATGTGGCCCATATTTGTGGCTCACACTATATTTCTAGCACTAGTCTAGACAAATAATTTTGGATACATTCTTGTTAGTTGCCATCAAGTGAGTTTCAACTAATAGTGACCCTACGTACAACAGAACAAAACATTGACCACTCCTGTGTTTGAGCCTATTCTTTCAGCCAGTTTGTCGATCTATCTCATTGAAGATCCTTCTCTTTTTCACTGAACTATCTGATGTTCTTCTCCAGAGACTGGTCCCTCCTGATAATGTGTCCAAAGTAAGTGAGACAAAGTCTCACCATCCTCACTTCTAAAGAGCATTCTGCCTGTACTTTTGAGACCGATTTGTCCATTCCTCTGGCAGACCATGGTATTTTCAATATTCTTTGCCAACACCATAATTCAAAGGCATCCATTCTTCTTCAGTCTTCCTTATTCATTGTCTAGTTTTTGTGTGCATATGAAGCAACTGAAAATACCATGGCTTAGTCCAGGAGCACCTTAGTATTCAAAGTGACATTTTTTATTTTAATGCTTTAAAGAAATCTTTTCCAGCAGATTTTCCCAAGGCAAAACATTGTTTGATTCCTTGACTGCTGCTTCCATGGGTGTTATGTATCCAAGTAAAATGAAACTCTTGACAACTTCAGTATTTTCTCCATTTATCATGATGATGTGTATTGGTCCAGTTGTGAGGATTTTTTGCTTGGTTTATGTTGAGGTATAATCTATACTGGAGACTGTAATCTTTGATCTTCAACAGTAAGTGCTTCAAGTCCTCTTTGATTTCAGCAAGCAAGCAAGGTCATATCATCTGCCTATTGCAGGTTGTTAATGAATCTTCCTCCGATCCCAATGTTGTTTTCTTATT